CTAGAAATCAAAAGTTATCCACAATAAGCCACACATAAAAGCTTCTCTTGCTCAAAGAACAGAAGAAAGATGAAAAACAATGACTATTTCAGTACATGTATGTTCTGGATAATAACCTTTGGCTGTAACGCACAACAACTTGAAACTTACTAGCTTTGCAAAAATGGCTTCATTTTTTAAGCTAGCCTCCAGGAAGGCAAATTCCTCTCTTGTCTTCACTGGATAGACTGGAAGGTCTTCTGGATGGACTGGACCAGCCATGGCAGTAGGGTCATCAGCATTCACATGCATCTGTATTCTGGCCAACATTGTAGCCATGCTTGTCAACTGTGCCTTAATACACTCAAGTTCCCTAAGAACTGTGACCAAAGCTAAAAAAAAAAAAAAAAAAGAGCAATACGTTAGAACCTTATCAATATTGAGTGTTCCGATAAAGATGATAAAAAAACAAGCCTTTATTCATTTTCAAGGTGACAAGGAGTTAATACTTTAATCGCTTAAAGCTGTAAGAGCATTAAAGATACAGAAACTTTTCTCTTGTTGCTCACGTTACCGAAGCACTTAGCTTAATTACACAAACAAATTATCCATTCTTACAACGTGCAGCATGCATCAATGCTGCAAAGCAACAAGGCTAAAGTTTTTTTTTTTTTAAACAGGACATGCCTCAGCCAGGGTTGTAAAGCACCTAGGTACAAGTAACTCGAAATCGGTATCTAGGTACCTTTGTTGTACCTGACATAAAAACCTAGGTACTTTCATTTTTCGGTATCTGTATCTGTACAGGGTTGGAACTCATGAAATGTACTTGGGAGGAGCCACGGGAGCAGCTGAACCTACATTCTGGAGCAGGCTAGGAGCAGCTCAGATAAGTTTTCACTGCACTTCAGTTTATGTCTTAGTAATTACATGCGCGAATCACGTGACGTGCGCAAGCAACGAACGTGCAGTTGCGCGAAGGAACAGGGCAATAAATTTCGAATTTATCCTATTGTGTAACTCAATAACGAAGCAGCAGACTATGATTAAGCGTAGTTATCATATTCGAGGCGATAAGCAGGAGCAAGGTTAAAGTATGCCAAGCAGATCTACCGCTTGCATGAGAGCTGCTGGCCGGCAAGGTTTCGGATTGGACCGCATTTCAGTTCTATCAAATCACGATTTATCTTGTGGGAATGCGGTTCCAACTTTTAACGATGAAGTACTAACAGGAATCTTTTGCTCCTGTCTTCAACTGGCTGAAGTCTGGATCCCGGGCCGCAGAGCCTCAGGCAATCTGACTCTTAACGACTCGACCTCACTTCTGCTGACGTGCTTAAAGGGCAACTCCGCTTCATTTTTGGTTTTGAAAAAACAATGCAGTCCTCTTCAGTATCGCCTAGGAAGACCACGAGTGAAATGTTACGACGCAGTTCTGTCTAAATGTTTCTTAAACGGTCCGGCAAACTTCGCAACTCGCCAAGTTGTCGAAATCGGCTGACTTGAGCGGGCGATCAGGCGCAACCAACAGCGCAGTCAAGGCTATGGCATGGGCGGAGCCAACATTGAGCTAAACGTCATTATCATGGCCCCCTTTTGCTTGTTTTCACTTCTCCGCGCGAGCGTAGCGCATGACGTCAGCAACGTTGCCTCTCGGCGCTCAGCGGTGTCCACATGATTGGTGTAACGCGCCCGCGCAGCGCGTTTCTTGGGAGCCGTCCGGCCGCCCGCCGTTACCGCCGTCTTCCGCGTCACAACCGCCGTCGTCGTCTCACCGATTGTGATTATTGTCTCTCGGAGTTTCATCCACACCACGGACACCATGTGCGCAGACTTATGCCGCAGTTGTGCAGACGTCGTCGAATGCCGTAGACACCAAAACGTGGCGAAGAGTGCGGTGCAGACGACACTCGCGCCTGCCACACGCCCGCCCCAATCCCGCCCGTCGTTGGGCCGAGGATCACGTGACATCTCGTACCACGTGATGGCCATGTACTTGGCGGCCCGAGGCCAATGTTGCCGGGCAGAGCCGAAGTTTCGGTTTCGATTTCAGCTCGTGTTTAAAATTAGATTTAAAAATATATAGCCCACTTTTCGCAAAGCAAACAACGTAGTGTGTTTTACTAGGGCTTTTTAATTCGAAATCACTCATTATCCCGAAATCTTCGGAATTGAGCGGAGTTGCCCTTTAACCGCTTATGGTTGAAGGATAACAATCCAGAAGCAGGTGGTGTAGCGCTTGGAGTCTGACCCCCAATTTTTTTCGTGCGCTTCTGACTCGAGATACACAGGGAGAATAAACAGAGCAAAGGAGTGCAAGGCCGACCAAGCTAAATGCGCTCATTGTTGCGAATCGGGTCGATAAAAACCGGAACCAAGACAAAATACAATTCTTTTGGTGCATAATGGCACGAGGTATTGGCTGTGGCGCAGTTTCCACAACATGTTTCAGGATGGCGCAGACATATGCGTCTGGCGCAAATGGTACAGCTATTCCACCCCTGCTGTATTTTAGGTACATTTTCCAGAAACTTGTAACTAAGTGAAGTTACTTTTTACAGGTTCATGTGTCAAAAGTGCACATACATCCTAACTCTTCTGTCAGTCACAAAATATACTTGCCTTTGCTTGAAGGTTCAGCAGAGCAGTTCAAAGAAGATGCACTTTTTGGTCTTCCTTTGGGCAACACCAAGTCATCTGAAAAACCACAAGCAATGCATAAGTAATAACAAGGATGAGCAGTTGAACTGCTATGTCACAGTTGCGTATTTCCTTGGATGGGAGTACAAGGCTGTCAAACTGCAAGCTGCAGTGTGCTTTATTCTGGAATCCTTTCTTCTTTTTTTTCTTGGGGAAACGCGGAAAGGGGCGAAGGGGGGGGGGGAGTCCTCTTACGAGGGATCCGCGAGCCGCACTTGGACCAGCAAAGAGCCGCATGCGGCTCGCGAGCCGCGGTTTGCCCACCCCTGATCTATACCATGCCCATACTGTACACTATGCGACGCTGTTAGCACAAACACAACATCGTCGGGTTTACTCGCTTTACTTACACAAATCAGGTGATATCACCAAAATTACTAATGCGGTGAAAAGGGCCCATAAGGGTTTCACAGCTTGAGCAAAGCACAAAAAAGCGCCGATGTCATGTTCATGCTAAAAGTGTCGCACTGTGTACATAACAGCCTGCACGTGGGTCTAGGAAGGCCTTTTCTCAACTCTAGATTACAAACATTCGAAGTGTGAAATACATGATCTGTAGTTTTGTTTTGATTACCTTGTGCATTTCACTTTATCACTAGTATTTGTTCATGTAAACCATTTCCTTCAAAACACGTGTAAGAAAAAAGGACTTGCCACCATCAGTTTGGCCTGCTCCTCCACAATGTGCTCCACTTTTTCTTTGAAGAGGTGGTGGCGGTGGGGGCTCAGCGAGAAATTCAATGTCACCTTCTGGAGGTGGTTCTTCAGTTACTCCCTCCTCATCGCTGCTGTCAGTGAGGTAGTCATCGAAAAATGTCGGAGGTCGCCGTATTCTTTTTTGCGATGTCTCTGCTTCCGATGTAAGGTCGGACTCTTCCTCCGCCTTTATGGACCTCTTGCGGGCAACTTCGTAACTGTCTGCAAGTCAGATGTTATGTAGATAATGAATTAATAAAAAATGTGCGTTGAATGTGAGGCATTATATTTTGCTGAGTTTTGTCTAAGCTGTACGTAGCTTCTGCTAATGAAGCATATGCTGCCTTTTTGTAGCTATCAAGCTGTTACCAATGTGTCCTATTAACATAGGCAGTGGGAGGTCTATAGTACCGTTACCATAGTAACTAAAAAAAGGGAGTCAGATATGATATGTACTTTAAGAATTATTTCACAACCAAACCCCCTTCTCTTTTGTAGATTCTGCGAAAGTGTGGATTGTAATAACTTTCAATAGAGCAGTGCTCTCTTCAGAATGAAAAAAAAAAACTAATGGCGTTCAGGGCGGAGCTTACCTGTATATGACATGACCCTGCAGGCAAATTTTGGCCAGTCTTTGCCTGGCTCCGTTCTGTCCCTCACTGCACTGTTCACTTTTGCAGTATTTTTAAACGGTGGCCAGGGAGCTGTCCCGTTCTTAATCCAGCGTGTTGGAACCACGGCCACGTCATCAGTCTTCATAAAATGGGCGACCGAGAACATCTAGAAAATTCAATTTGAGACCGTCAGTAAAGAGCATACCTACAAGTTTTATGAAGTAACAAGATTAGGGGTGTGCAAATAGTGATGTAACCAAATCAAACATGAATCGAATATTGATGAAACCAAATAAAATATGAATGCTGTGTACATGGTTTATGAAGGTGAAAATTACTAAAACTAAAACAAAAGAAAACTCATGATGTGTTTGGCATTTGTATTGATAGATGGCGCTCCCTCCTTATCGCAACGGCTCGTGACCACCGTGGTTTGTTAAAATGGGCATAATCTTTTTGAAATGTACCTTCGGTTAAAAAATAAATGCGGACAATAAAAGCAAAACTTAGAGTAAAAAAAACGTGTCTGTATAACGGTGGCGCTTTTGCTGTCAACGGATTTCGTCTGCGTGTCGTCTGCTTTCTTTCACTGGTCGGCTGCAACTTCGGAGGCTGCTCCCGACGCCATCTATCGATACGAATGCCAAACACATCCCGCTAATGAACCCCTCTCGTTTACGTCGCTGCCCGCCGTAGACCCTGGCAAGTTTCTTGGCCTTATTTTTTACAGAACGAGAACTACGCTTTATAATTTTACAAGAAAAAACCGACCTGTGAAATACACCGCTGACGAAAAGTTTAGATTGTTACGTGCAGGCATTGATTTTTACGGTCCATTTCAGATCGAGCCTGGTGGCTTGAACCACCCTATATTTCATGGGCTTTCTTTCTTTGCTAGAAAAGGAAGCAAACAAAGTGTATTGTGTTCAAAACACCCCAGTTGGCTGTTTCTCAAGACTTCTAAAGCCTGCCAGTTGACACCTTGATCCTGCTGGTCTTAAAATTGATATTTAAAAGTTTGCCAAGTCTTTCTTGCGTTTCGCAAGACACCTGCTAACAACATAGTGGTTTTCACTTGTGTAGAGCAGAGGTGCACAGACTGGAGGTTGTGGGGAAATGTCTGGCGGCTACAGAGCCTCGGAGAGCTCCAAAAATAGTTAAGGCGGGGGTCGCCGGAGGGCACTCAGAAGCTTTGGGGGTTCGCAGTCCCGAAAAGGTTGTGTACCTCTGGCGTAGAGTGTTCAGTCTTTTTATACTTGCGGCATCTTAGCTGGGATATCTATCAGTTGGGACAATAGTTACGTGTAATCACCAAGTCAAAGGATAATCACATTATCATTCATTTAAAGAGCTAAAGTAGTGAGCACACATCATGAGCAAAAGAAAACTAACCTTTTATTAGACATTCACCTTACAGCTTTTCTATTTTGGTCTTTCCATCATATAAACAGTTCTATTTATAGCAGCTTTTTTCTAATCCCTCAATTTTCAACCTACAGATGCCTTATAATCAGAAGAAATGTCCTTAAAAATCCCCTAGCAGTTATTAGCATAAAGACATAATTTATGCCAAAGACATTAGCACACACACTTTATTTTTATTCGTGATGATTATATACTCATTAAAACAACACTATAAGTGAGAGCACATTTACGGCAGATATTGCTTATCTGAGCTATCCTGTGTGCAAGAGTGGCTTAACCAAAAATTCACCCCCACAAGGAAGCCAGCAGCACTTTGATTTGACCTGTTCAACAGTCCACAAAGCATTTGCAGACGAAACCTGAGAAGCCCTGAAAGTACACAGTCCAGTTGTGTCAACAATGCCGGCATAGAAGTTTGTTAATCTCTTGAAAAACTGGCCACAGATCTTGATCTCTCCATCACGGGACACAACATTTGTTGCGACGACTACATTTCCATCTTCCATCAGAAAACATGAGTCTGGTAGGTTCACTTCCAGAACCATGCCTTGAAGAACTAGCTTGTGATACTGCTCTCCCTTAAATCCTGGAGGTGCTGGTCCGGCATTATGCGGCTTTTGCAACAATGCCTGCTGCTTCGGTGGTATTCTAGGATGCAAGTCAGCATGACTGCGCTCTTCTAAGCGTTTTACAATCTGTTGTAATGGTCGATTTGGTGACTTCAAATCTCGCTTCAGTTGACCCAGAAAGTTCTCAAACCGGAACGCAGAGAAGGAGTCAAGGTGACCGAACCTCCGCACATCAGCAGTAAGATGCAGCAGAGAATGTATGTTGTACACGTAAATGCCTTCACCGTACAGGTCCCCAGCATCAGAAACAAACTCTTCAAGCAGCTTCTCTGCAGAATCAATCTCCTCATGGCAGAGTCGTGGGCTTGACAGGATTGACACTGCAATGCTCAGTTTGAGAAAGTGCTGGTAGTAGCGCTTCTCCATGTGGTCTTTTAGAACCGCAGGACCGAAGTACAAGAGGAAGTTTCGTAGCTCAGTGGCCTTCCATCTCTCTAATTCATGAAGACTCCGGGGCTTCCGAGCCATCTCCCGAGGGGTGTGTCTCTGGAGTTTCATGAGCATTGTTGAGATGCTAGTCTGTGCACGTGGTGGGAGCTTTGATCGATGAGGTCGTCCCCGCACCCAATAGTGAAGTAGAAGCCTCCGCATAACGCCTAGGCAGACTAAATGCATATAGTCGAGGGGAAATTGGCTTACCATGCCAATCTGTAGCTCGACCAATGGGGACTGTCGATGATGGTGCCCTTCCTGATCCTGCTTTCGAAACGACTCGTCTGTTCGTAGGGGGCTGCTGACTTCTGGAAGAATTACTTTCCGGCAGCTTTCAGAGAAGGTGCCTTCTTGGGTGCACTTTTCACAACTGAAGTATCCCCCATGGCCCTTGATGCACTTCAGAAATGCCCTTGCGGGCGCATCGCAAATGAACGCATGCACTCGAACTACGCACTCCTTTCCGCCCTCGGTCACGTGTTCTTCCAGCAATGTGCTTAACCTCCGAAATGAAATCGGTAAAGGTAGTCATCCAAGTTCTCCGGCTTCTTGTCTCCAACAAACAGAGCTATGACGAAAGGTTCAGGATCGCAGCTTTCGACGACAGATGCAAGAATGGGCCAGAACTGCTTGCTGGAACTTTTCGCTATAGGCAGGCCATCAACATTGATGAGCAACGAAATGGTGTCTCCAGTGATGCTGCCTGAGCTCATCATTCGTTTTAGTGACGATTCGATTCCGAAATAGTGGGTAGAGGCCGGACGCTCCCATGTTTTTCACATTGCAAGATCTTGGTGTCCCCATTAGGCTTCTTGCGTCACTAGGCAGCTCCGGGTGATACTTCTTCAATATCTTTAAAAGCTTGCTAAGATGGGATGCGCAGGCTTTGGTCTCACGTGCCCAGGTGGCCAGCTCGCTTGCCAAAGTAAACTCATCTGCACTTGAGATTGGCAAATGAGTTTCAGTTTCTTCGGAAGCTGATGTGCTCGCGCAAGGATCTCTGGATCGTCGACTTGCGGTGCGCTCAGACCCTCCCTGGCTCCGTCACTGCTGTCGTCTGATCCGTCAACCGCAGAATTTCCATCGCTCTCGTCCGGAGCAGACTTAGAAAAAATGTCCGCAAGATGGTCGCGCACGTTTTCGGCAATAATTCTTTTCTTCTGTCGGTCGCACACGTCATCAAATGCTCGCCTCTGTCGCTTCATTTTACGAACCAGGAGATCGTTTCCTCTTAGCACCGTTCAATCACAAAGGGATATCATGCATCGCGAGTCGCGCAGTCTGGCGTAACCGAAATCGCGCGCAATCGGCGAACATGGTTGCCCACTTATCATAGTCATTGGTTGCGCTAGAAAATTTTGTCCGGATTTCGTCCGGTCATAGTGGCAGCGCTTCGCTCTTCAAAATAATAATCACTGTAGAGCCCTCAAATAATTACTCTTGTCTATTATTACCTAACCAGCCTCGCACATTCACG